TTTGGGGCAAAAGTTTAGAGAACAAAAAGTGTTCAGATTTATCCAAGGAGCACGTCTGATTTTTTTCAGAATGTTTGGTCACGTTTTGGCCATTTTCAATTTGGCCATTTTTTCAAAAAATCCGAAAATAGCTCCAAAAATTCTGAAAAAAATTATACAACCCTTGAAGAGTCCTAAACAAATTTCTCAATAAAAAATTTGGCCCAGTTTGGCCATTTTCCCGTTAGAAGGTTTCAAAAAATGGTCTTTCCTAAAATTTCACAATCGTTTCCAGACATCTGGGAAAAAATACACGTGTTCTTGGCTCAAACTCAATAGAGTGCGCCAAAATGTCCCCAAATTGTCCATTTTTTCATTTCAATGTTCCAAAAATTGGCAGAAACCCAAAATTGCAGGAAAGACCGGAAATTCTGGAAAAATTGGCATTTGTAAGGTGCAACTTTTATAAATTTTGTTGGTGCCATTCGAAAGAGCACCGCCAAAAATACTCGGAAAGGCATTTCCCGATTTTTTTTTCCATCGTTTCTTATCTTTGGCACGTTGCTAAAGAGAGGATATAAGCAACAAAAAAGCGAGTATATTGGACATTTTTGACAAAACCGCATGCCATTCAGCCCGATTCTACATAAATACGTAGGTACGTAGAATCCCAATGTAGTTTTTTGTGCCGTTTGCATTTTCTCTTGTTCGCGTTCGTACCTTTTCTAATGAAGATACCGTCTGTTGCTGTCATTCTGGGACACCAGACTATATTTTAATATGATATTTATCCATTTTTGCAATTTAAAGCAAAAACTGATACATTTAGTTGCTTTTTTATAAATAGACCAAATATCTTAAATACAATTAGCTAGTAAATACTTTGTCAAGAATGTTCACTGACTTGTAGATTATTAGTAGATTATTAAATCAATTTAAAAAAAATACATACACACAACATCGGAATGTTTTACTTTTGATAACCCGCCAAATCATAAATGAAATAATTTTAAGACAGGCGTGTTTCCTCGGTTAGCGATTGCAGGAGTGACGAACGTAAATACATGTATGTATATGTATTTAACTTCTCATACCCTCACTCATACACTCTATCGAGACCCTCATAAATGTCACTTTGATCTCGTAAACGCCACTATATTAATACACAATTCGCTAAACCGAATCAATTCTATGTGCCTGAATTTACATACTAGGTAGGTAGTAGGTACATGGTATAAAGAGATCAATTTTGAGGGCGACGTTGTTTATGTAACTTGTTTATATCTGACTGAGCCATGTAAGTAACCAAATAACACAACAAAATCTAATCATAACTATAGTATAACAGACAGAATGATGAAACGAGTCATAAATTCACGCCCTGTAAACGTAAAATTTCAGCAATCACCTGCTAATCATACGCGGACGGCTTGCTCTTCCACAAAGTTGAGATATTCAGTGTTGGTGTAGGAATCTATTTTATTTTTTAGTAATAGGATGTCATATAAATTATTCTTGAACATGTTCTTCTTAGTGCCTGAATTTTGTGCCTTATTGTGCCAAAAGAATTGTGAATATTTTTGAGGTCTTGAATGTTGAGAGTTAATTTTCGCGTATTCGAAACCGAGAAGAAATTTTGGGTGAATAATTCGAATACATGGGGGGTTCAGTAAGGAAATTTCAAAAAAGAACGCCATTATTCCAAATTTTTGTCGAATCATGTATATAACAATGTGAAACAAAATTACGAAGTTGGCTGTACATGCTAACAGAAAGTAAAGTTTCGTATTATGTGACGTTTATTACGTATTCTAACTGTTTAAAACAACGGTTAAAACAAAAATAATAAATTATTTTAAAAAATGAGGAGTATATGAGTTTGTACATAAATAAAGGTAAACGCCTTGTTTATAATAAAAAAAGACGTCAATATCGATCAAAAGTCAGCTTAATGTCGCACCAGCATTTGACAGAAAAAATTGCATTGTAATTCCACCTAGGATACATTTTTTTGGATTAAATTTGTTTTCGTTGATATGATAACGGCTAAAAATAAAAACATCGGTTTGAAGGTAGACTCTTAGAAAGTGAAATGTTCACTATAAATCTCCCTAATCTCCTTAATGCTTAAATTATCACTGACATTTTTTTTGGAGGTCTCGATGTGAAAATCATCCGGAGTCGAAGACGATTTTACAGTGACTAATTCAACCACGTGGGTGATTCGGTAAGAAAATTTCACTTCTAAATTAAAAAATATTTATGTATTGTTGACGGTTTTATTATAAAATACAATATGAAACAAAATTATGAAGTAATTAATAAAATAATAATGAAAAATATGCTAAACCTGCAAATGCTGCTAAAATCGATTGGTCTGGAGTGTCACAACCAATTTTCACCCTCAGACCATTCAAACATCCCTCAAGACCATCGCAACACCTAAGCTGAAAGGGTGGGGCAGCGACCAAATACTCAGGACTTGTTGGGGAGGTCGTGATGTGTGCCAAAATAGGGTTTTTACCCGACAGCGTCCTTCTTAGTCCATCTTGTACGACTCTGAAGTTGGCGTCAAAATCTTGCGAATTCAAATTTCGATATGGGGTTGGTTTTTGGGGTGTGAACGGCGAGCCGTTTAAATCACAGTTTAGCGACTTCGGGACATTAAAATCAACCCTATAAACTACCGGAATTTTCAAACCGCAAGTCCCTTGCTCAAACAGAACGAAAATGGCGCTCATCTAAAAAGGTTTACGCTAATTTTGACGAGCAGTTTAATTCCTTCGTTCCAAAAAAAAAAAAATAGCAGACCAAGCATTGCTAACTTGGCGAAAGTTATAGAGTAATCATAAAAATATTGTTGCGGAATCCGCCGAGTCGTACCGCCTGAGGCTAGCCGCCGGGCTATGATGTCGCCGCCTGAGATTAGCCGCCAGGCTATAATTTCGCCACCGGTAAACAAGGGTGACTCACCGACGGCCGATGCGGGCGGAAGGCGCCTCGTACCTTCGGGAGAGCTTCTATACTGATCTGGGTTCACCCGGCCTTTACTGGAAGCTATCCAGGATGCATATAAAATACCCGCACTCGACGCGGGACAATAGTCTCTATTTGAATCATGTGAACGGCGCGCTCTCCGTACAACGCTCTAATATAAATTGTATAAAAATAAATTAGTGTAGTTAAATAGTGTTAGTCCGTAGTTGTATTAATTTAAATAAATAGTGTTAGTTCAAAGTGCGACTTTAATTTTTCACACCTCACGAACCCTAAATAAATAAAACGTTACAATATATTGGGGTTTTCGTTTGTTTTTTCGCTACCAGGTTATTGGCTTGTACACCTAAAAATATTTTTTCAATAAAAATATTCTGGAACGCCTAACAATTTTTCACGATCACGATCCACACGCTGGCATCGCCGACCGATACGGATACTCCGGCACGCGTTTGCCCGGAACCAATTCGACGCGCAATTAAAGAATTTAAACGCGTCGGGCGAAAAACTAACAGGACCACGTGGCCGGCCAAACAACCGCCCTTTTTGGCCCCCGAATCGAATTTCTCCTCAATGGGCCATTCCGAAAACGGAACGGCCCTTTGTGTGTGAGCTGAGGGACGCGCGGCGACGTGCCGATGTGTATTTTTTTTTCCTTTCGGCTACGCGTTCGCGGCGCCTCAAATTACCATGAAATTTACATGACGCGTCCGCTTAACAATGCGAATGCCGTATTTACCTTAATTTTAATATCGCTTCCGGGGGGGATTTTACAATAAATTTACCGACGGAACGTATCCGTGCCCTTTCGGCTCTTCCATTGTTTTCCGCTCTTTCACGGCTTCTATTCATCCGGCGGGCGATTTCGGTGGCAGAAAGTAGTAAATATGTATGTAATATACCACAATGCACAGTTAATTTAAAACCCGTTTCGGCCGAAAACGCCACTCCCGGTACATCGCTCATCAGCGCCTCATAACTATTACTATTTGCGACAGAAACATTTGACAGGGACATATTTTTTAAGTTTAAGACGTGTCCTTTCCGATGGCGTCCATGAACTGCCTCAAAATATTATTAATTATGAAAAAAAAGCAGTTTTTTTTAACACGATTTTTTTACACATTTTTTTTTTATCAAATTTTCAAGGGGTTTCCGGTCTGCAATGGACCTGTAACCTCACTAACCGGTGGAATAAATGTTTGAAATTTAAGTTTAAGTGGATTAAAGATCGATTTCTTGCCTTTTATAGGTTCAAAATGGTGCCTGAACTGCAAATTTTTTGCGTAAAAATGCAAGATTTTTTTATTGGAAAATGATGCACTTTTACAAAAAAATGTCGAGAATAAAAGTTCTTAAAATCACCCAAAGACTGCACTGGAGCAACTGGATTTTGCATATAGTCAATATTTGCAGAATTTAAAAAATTCTGAAAATTCCAATGCATTCTCTGAGTGATTTTAAGAAATTTTTATGCTTGACAATTTATTGCAAAAAATGCATTGTTTTCGAGAAAAACAAATTCTAAATTTCGATACTAATTTGATCTTTAGAATATTTTTTTTTTCTCAGAAACAATGCATTTTTACTATAAATTGTCAAGAATAAGAAGTTCTTAAAATCAATCAAGGAATGCACTGGAATTTTCAGATTATTTAAAGTATTTTTTTAAATTTTGCAAAAATTGACTATTTGCAAAATCCAAAAAATTGCTCAAAAAATTGCTGAAACTAGTGCATTCATTGAGTGATTTTAAGAACTTTTTATTCTTGAGAATTTTTTGTAGAAGTGCATCATTTTCCAATAAAAAAATTCTTGAATTTTTACGCAAAAATTTTGCAGTTCGTGCGCCATTTTGAACGCATAAGGCAAAAAAATCGATATTTAAAAATCACATAAATAAATAAATAAAATCACACCACAGACATTGACATTCTCCCTCTAAGTCATTACAACTGTACAGAAGGAGAATACACATGGAAAAGACGTAGGACACACAACCAAACCCTGTGACAGGTGCCAATTGCCACAGGTGGGATTCGAACCCGCGCCAAGATAATAGCCGAACCAAGATAATAGCTCTCGGAGTAATCGCCATCTTCTCACCTGGCGCTTTACCCACTGAGCTATCACCGCGATAATACATATACTTAAAGTTCAAACATTTACTCCACCGGTTAGTGAGGTTCCAGGTCCATTGCAGACCGGAAACCACTTGAAAATTTTATTAAAAAAAAAACGTGCAAAAAAAATCGTGTTCTTTTTTAAACTGTTTTTTTTTTTCATAGTTTAATTAATATTTTTTGGAGGAATTTCATGGACACCATCGTAAAGGGCACGTCTTAAACTTCAAAAAATATGTCCCTGTCAAATTTTCCTGTCGCAAACAGTATTAGTTATGAGGCGCTGAAGAGCGATGTACCGGGAGTGGCGTCTTCGGCCGAAACGGGTTAAGGCAGAAGTCACCGAACACCAAACGTTGGATTTTACAGCTCATGTTTATCTGGCAACCAAATACAGCGTGTCCCACCGCTATGTGTGCCTACACTGATATTTTAACATGAATATTTAAATTCTGGAAATTTGCGTATTTTGAAAACACCCTGTATATTAAACACCCTGTATATTAAACACCATGTATATTATTAACTTATATGGGAGATTCTAAAGACATTCAATAAATGATGTCCTATACTTTTTCCAATAGTTTTTGAAATATTTACTGTGGTAGTATTTACATCACAAATGACATTTAGGAACTTTTTGGAAAGACAATTGCGAAAATGATTGCTGCGGAGACAGGACCTGGAATGGCGGTAGGTTAACATGTAATGCACCTCCACTACAAGTTTGAACTTGTTAGAGTCATTTGTTTGTTCTTTGTGATTGTTTTCGTAAACCGTTTTTTTTTTCTAGTGCGTTTTAAAAATGAGTGACATTAATTTTGAGCAACGGTGTGCTATCAGGTTTTTCTTCAGACTTGGACACAGCGCAACGGATACTTTCGCAAAACTTCAACATGTCTACGGAGACAGTGTTTTTTCAAGAGCCCAGATTTTTCGGTAGTTTAAGGGATTCTCAGAAAGGAAGATAATCGATTGAAGACGAACCACGCAGCGGAAGGGGGTGTGTCTGTGGTCTATGTCTATATACAATTGTTTTTATTTTATTTTCACATCAAGATTTTCCATTTATTCCAACTTATTGTTCACCTAACTTACTGTTAACTTGACAAATCACTATATTGGCTATATCCTCCAGAAAACCATCATTAAGTATGCTTAAGAAATGTCACTCTGTAGTATTCTAACATTTCTAAAGCATTTGGTTATTTTCTGGAGACATTCAAAGCAAAATTAAATTCCAACCTAAAGAAAACTTCAGTCTAACAGAAATAGAACAAGTCTAACATAAAGTCATACTGAATACAAATCTTTTAAAAAACAGGTTTAAAAAAGTTGGTTTTTGCAAATTTTCAAAGGTTTTGATGCACAATTGCAATCTTAGTGCAACTGTTAAAAAAAAATGAATGTAAAAAACTGGAATGTAAAAAAACTCCTTAATTTTTTATCGCCCCTATATTTTCATACAAATGTTCACTAAGTACATTACAAGCAATATACTAAAAATATTTACTACACTCGAACCCCTCTTAAGTCACCTTCGCTTAATTCACACCCCCCTCTTATTTCACCACGTTTTCCCTATTGTGTCACGAAACCGTCCCTCTTAAGTCGCCGCCTGTAAAAGTTTTAGAACTACGTTTGGAAATCGGATTCTCGCATGAATATGTACAATTTTTATTGAAAAAAAAATGATTGTGTAATACATTAAATATAGACACCTAACCTTTAAAATAGGTTAGGTGTCTTTTAAAAAAAGTTAACCTTTAAAATATTCATTCAAGTGGAAAATTGAACTTTGTCACGCACGACTGGGTATACTTACGTTGATTTTTTCGTTCAGTTGGCTCATTTTTCGTTATAACAAGTGCTATGGTATATCTCTAAATATTTGTTTCTGCAGCTAAAACACGAAAAAGTTGAGGTTATGATCGCGACTTAAGAGAGACTAAATTTCGCGACTTAAGCGAGGCGATATTAATTTTATTGCACATATTCAATTCCCATAAAGCCACTGTTGTGTACAACGTTTCGGGATATAAATGAATAATAAAAAATCAATACCTATTTACGTTTTTTGTTCCGGATTTAAATATAAACAATACCGTTCAATATAAATATTCTGCATTGCATACGGTTTTTAATTAAAATAATATGCATACATAAAACAAAACGTATTTAGAGGCGAACCGGATAAAAGCATATACTATGTAATGTACCTATGTATGTACAATACACATGTATCTAACTAATGTCTCGTGTAGAATAGGATTTTAACGATCCACTTCCCGTTTGGTCTACAATCTATATTTATTCGTCAAAATTTTTCGAATATAATGTACCTAACTGGAAAATGTTGAAAAAAGTACTTACTCAACGTTTTATAAAATCTGCGTTTTCAGGATTCGAAGCAAAATGCTTAAGTAACGTGTATGATCAGACTCTTCGATTTCCTTATAATTTGCACCCCTTTAAAAAGTTTATTTGTTGGGATACAAAAAACTAATGAATAAGTAATGTACAAAAGTTGCAGAATTTTTCCGTGTTAACCGAAATGCTTTCATATTTGAGTATTAAATTTAATTGCCAACAATTTTTCTTAATAACTTTTTTACACAATGTAATAAGGTATTTTAATCTGACAATAACATAATATTTAAGGTATTTTAATCTTCATTATTATTTAGTTTTTGCTATTTTTGCACACCCTGTATGCTAAATTGAACAAACAACAAACTTTCTGGACGCTTCAAGACAAGCAAAACTTTTTATGAAGAATAATTTCCATATTTATGTACTCGTCATTTACCGGAACTGCATTTTTTCTGTGGGATCTAGGTGAACACACAGCCATGTTTTTCGAAATTTTTAACGATCCGATTAATCGTTGATATCGTCGGTGAGGGCTTATTGGGAAATTTTTCGTTAAAAATCACTTTAATATCCCTTACAGACCGACCGCCAAAATACCATTTAATTATTTGAACTCTTTCGTCAATGTGACAAATATCCATTTTTATTTTTATGAATGTATGTAGTGCTTCTACAGTACGCTCGTAATAACGCACTTTTCTAATCAGGCATTAGACCAGAATAAAATATATAATAGTGCTGGGCCATGATATTAGATGTTTCGAAAACATCGATGTTTTGCTGTCGATGTTCGATGTTTTGTCATCGATGTAAAGACCGAAACATCGATGCCAATATCGATGTTTGCCTTTCGATGTTACATTTACATACATCACAAAAAAAAGAGCAGTTACTTAAGTAGTGGTAATATTTTATATAATACAATTGACACAAATACAAAAACATTAATTTAAAATATTTATATAACACATACTTATGTTTATTAATAAGAAAATTAAATGGATTGAAACCCGAGCGCTCTTTCTGTTACAGCTTATTCCAAATATTAAAAGTGATCAATTCAGTAGTTTTAAAATTACCTAAGTTGTGTTGCATTTTGATATTGGATTAATGGATCATATATTATAATATAATTCCTACTTATGTAATATACACTTATATTACTCAATTTACGTACAACGTACACAGTACAATAAATAACAGCAACATCGATGTTCTTTGAACATCGATGGTTTATTAGCGATGTTTTGTCTATATCGATGATTGTTTTCGATTTTAACATCGATGCTGAATATCGATGTTTTCCCTCGATGTCGCAGCACTAATATAAAATGGTATTTCAAATTTTAACTCAAACAGCCCTACCGACAAACCGGATGCCTTTCATACGCCTGCGCTAGCGATTGGATCGCGATTGGTTCTCACCTCATAAATACCAATTGCCCTTCCTTCGGCTATGTACGCATTAGGGCGCCGCTTACTGTATTATTACCCTGATTATTACCGTAATGGGGCAAAAGTGCAACCGACAGCACCGCGGCCGCAAAGAAATGTGCAACGCGTCGGCTTACCAGTAGTGGTGTGTCGTTCCGTTCGGAACGTTCTTTTGGAACGGTATTTTGTTGGAACGACTCGGAACGGTATTCATTTCTCGCGGAACGCATTATTTCGGAACGGGAGTGTCTACTCCCGTTCCGACGGAACAGACGGAACTTAGGTCGGAATGGATCGGCGACGTACCACGTACAATATCACGATCAGATTGAACGCCACGGGGACGGGACGTTCGTCGTTCAGTTTGGCACATTTGGATGAATGTGGGTTCGAGTTATGTTCAGCTGGGGCCGGTGATAGTTGGATCTCGATTTCTAGTGTGGAATGTGGAATGTGTATTGGTCAAACGTCAAAACTGTTTTTTGATTATTCTTTTAAATCAAAAATATACTGTGTAATCGTTCCTTATAGATTTTCGCGAAATTATAAACTTTTATGAATCAAACCGTTTTCGTTGTATAAAAATGTGTAGGTGATTTTCGCAAGTCGTTTTTTGCAATCATGAGTTATAAGTAATAACGCGACCCGGCGACCCGTACAGAAGAATTCTGATTTAAAGAAATGATTTGAAAACAAAAATGATAAGCAAAAGAGTGGATAACTACATAACACGGTCAAAGTTTACTATTTAGTTTACTAACTATAATATCATATTTTAATTCTGTAAATTTTGACAGGGTAGTGTCACAGCATAATGCTGTGGTAGTGTCGTAGGATTATGGAGAATCAGAACTTTTGGCAAATCTTATATGTACATATATATAAAAATCTCGTGTCACGGTGTTTGTGGTCGCACTTCTCCGAAACGGCTCGACCGATTTTTATGAAATTCTTTATGTATATTTGGTAGGTATGAGAATAGGTCGTAAAGTATATTTCATACCGCTAGGTGATTAGGGTGTCCCTATCCAGAAATTTTTTTTCTATTTTTTTGACAAAAAATGTTTTTGTATTTTTTTATTTGGCATCAAAAAAATACCTATAAACCCAAATTTTCAATATGGCAGAACAACGTTTGCCGGGTCAGCTAGTAAATACCATAAAACTTGACCATGGAACGACGTTCCGATATACCGTTCTTTTGGA